CTCAACATTTCTTATAGCACAATAGGTTTCCATTATAATCATATGCCACAACTTGTAAACCAACCCCTTTAAAGTGGTCTTCTAGGATTTTGTAAAGAATAGAAATTTAGCCTACTGGCTTCAAGTTTGCAGGCTCTATTCTTATCTTTTTTTAAATTGATACATTTTGCCCTTCTTTAGAGCTCCCCAGTCCCTCTCCAGAGTTCTAGTCCTATTTCACCAACTATACATTAGACCTTTCAAATTGGATGTCCCATAGACATCACAAACTCAATATTTTCAAAACAGAACCCTTTATCTTTGTTCCCACATCTACTTTCTTCTGAATTTCCCTGTTATCAAGGGCAACATCATCCTCCCAGTTACCCACATTCCCAACTTTGTTGTTATCAACTCTGCACTTTCACTCACCTCATATATCAAATCTAACCAAATCTTGTCATTTCTGGCTCTACGACATCTCCATACATCTTCTTTATACTTGAAAAGTCATCACCTTAGTTTGAGACCTCATCACCTCTCACCTGAACTACTGTAATAGCCTCCTATTTGGTCTCCTGCCTAAAACTTTACCCACTCTTATCCATGCCCAACATAGCAAAATAATTTTCCCAATGTACAAGTCTGATAATACCATGCCTCCCTTAAGAAAAGACAGGTAGTCCATCTAGCCTCAACAATCAAATATGAACTCTAATATTTAGCATTTAAATTTCTTCCTTTCCTACTTTTCCAGTCTTCATATACATTGTTTCCTTGCCTATACTCTGGAATCCAGCCATGCTGGCTGACTCACTGTTCCATAAACACAACAATTAATCTCATGTCTCCATTCCTTTTGCACTGGCTATTCTCCATGCCTGGAATTCACTCCTGATTAACCTCTGCCTCTTGGAAATGCTAGTGTCCACAAATGACACCATACCCATGAAGCCTTTTCTGATCCCCTAGCTGTAACTGCCCATCCTCCTTGTGTTCATTTTGTATGTTCTATTTATATACTTAAATATTCAGCTAGGTCACTATTGTTGCAATTTTGAATGACATAAAATTAGATTTAGTGCAAATTATAAAATACCAGGTCAAATTTGAAACAAACAAAAATTCAATTAATGTGATTCATGTGAGCTAGTTGAGGGTTATAACATGCTGATGCATCATCAATCTACATTTGCTTATCTGCAATAGACAAAATGAAGAATATTTCAGATAGAAACACTGCCAGTGTGAAAAAGAAGGGGGAGGGAGAAGAAGAGGAGTATGAGGCCAAAGAAGAAAGAAGGAAGAGGAAGAGGAAGAGGAAGAAGAAGAAGAAGAAGAGAAGAAGAAGAAGAAGAAGAAGAAGAAGAAGCAGCTTGTTATTGCATTAGAATAAAAATGTAATGTAACTGAAACACATGAACATAATCATGGTAACTTTAAAATTAGATGAGTTGTCAGAATGCCTGGATCTATAGCACAGAATGTTATAAAACACATAGGCAAAATAAAAGAAAAAGGAAAATTTAATTCAGCCTTTTGTGGTTTGCAAACAACTACAAGGAATAGAAATGTTATAATGACAGAAAGGGAGAATTTTTTAGCTGTATGAATTGAAGATTGCAATCAAAAATGTATTCCTCTTTGCAGAGCAGCCATTTGGACAGTAGCTTTAAATTTATTAAGGCAGTGAGAAAAAATGGAAATGAAGTGGTTAGCAAAGAAACTTACTGAAAGCACTGGTTTGTCATTTACCTTAAAAATCAAGTTCAATTGCATAATGTTAAAAATTATCAGAGGACCCAGCAGCTAAATATCTCAATACTCTCAGGAAAATAATCAAAGAAGGTGGATACGCTGATCAACAAATTTTTAGTGTAGATGAAACAGGCTTATTCTGGAAAAGAACACTCCAGAACTTGTATTTCTAAGGGGGGAAAAAAACTCAACCTGGATTTAAAGCATCTAAGGATAGTCTAACACTTTTATTGGGAGGTAATGAAGAAGAGAGTTTTATATGAAAACCAATGCTTGTTTATTGGTCTCAAAATCCTTAAACTCCAAGAGGCTACAAATATCGATCACTTCCATTTCTTTGGCAGTTAAATCAGAAAGCATGGGTGAATAAAGCTATTTTCAAAGAATGGCTTTCAAGTTATCGTAGACCAGTTGTTGAAAATATTGTAAGAAATGATAACATTGCATCTAAAGTATTGTTGATTTTAGATAATGCTACAGATCTTTTAACCACACTTGGCTTATTATGTAAGAATGTAACCATACAAATTTGCTGAGATGTGGCTACAGCTCTTTGATCTTAACCAGCATGCGTATGAAGATTTAAAGAAAGAAAAGACACTGGTTTACACAGCTAAAAATTTAAAACAAAAATAATGGCATTTTGTCATATCATTTATGTTTATCTTTAGGTATGTGATATTAGATAATTAATTTTAATTTTTTAGTTCAGTAATTTTTTAAAATTTCAGTAATTTTTATGAAAATTTTGCTTTCTATAACTTTGTAATAGACTTAAAGCAGAAAGACTTTTTTATCCTTTGTTGTTATACTACATTAATAAACATATAGCTTGTGTTTTTTTTAATTCCTTTACATGTTTCCATTGGAACCAATTACCATATTTTACATATATAACTTCCAATAATGTGAATTTCAATAATGTGACTACTTCAGAGGATTCATTATTCACATTAATTGGCACCTAGCTATATACATCTTATCTCCTCCATTAGAATATAAGCTCTATAAGGGCAAGGACTATTTCATTTTTGTCTTTGTATCTCCCATTTTTGCACATACACTGTCCGACCCCCACTCCAATCACAAAGCTTCAGGTGAATCATAAATATCTTCTGAGGAAAAGGCTCACTGAGTGTGAGCAACTTATGACTGAAAGATACTAGCACTCCCCACCATAGTCAATTTTTCCTTTTCCCTCTTTCCTTCTTCCCTTTCTAGTCTTTTAGCCTCTTTTTTCTTTATTGTACCCCAGTGCCTATGCTTTAACCTTGTTAGGAGAGCCTAATTGCCTTTTCTAGGTATAACATAGTCCCTTTGCTTGCCTTCAGAATTAAAATGGTTCTGACCCTTGCTCTAGAAGCAGACATTTTCATCACTGATTATTTCCACAATCACAACTGTAAATGGTTTCTCAGAGACTCTACATGCATTTCACAAGTCCAAAAGAAAAAACCCAAGAGGTCTGAATCCAGATGGACCAGGATATCAATGAAAGCCCTACAACTCAGCCTACCTAACCTGTCCCTAGTCACCTTCCTAGCTATGCACGGACACTAAAGGATGATGATTTGGAGGGTAAATGTGGCTTTTGTTAAAGATAACTGGTGTCCCACAGCTTGGAAGATTGTTTTTCTGCCCTCTTTTCCCTCCTCCAATTTAAACTTTCATTTTCACGAAGGAAACCAAATCACTGGACTTTCCATTTGAGGAGGAGAAAAGAGGAGAAGCAAGTCATAGCTTTATGACCAAGTGACCTCACACTTCATCTCTGCCTAGTCTTTTTTGATGGGAAGGGAACAAAGAGGAAGGAATACCTAGTGGCACTTTATGGGAAACATATCTGCAGAAAAATTTAGCTGGGCTGTGACACTTGGCTTCTCTACTGGTGGAAGCAGGGGAGAAAAATAGTTTTCAAGGACCTTGAACTTTGAGCGCAACCTGTTATTTTAGGATTCTGGATTTTGTTGGTGAATGAGGTTTAGGAAATTAATTGGTCTAAAGAAATAAAATTAGAACTTGGACTACAAAGAAAATAGAATTTTTCCTAATCAAAAAACATTTTACATTAACACATATTAAATACAAATTCTAAGGTAGAATCAAATAAGGCATGCTGAGCCATCAAATCTTTGCCACAAACTAGTCTATTTTATTCAACATATGACTTGTGACCAACTAGTTATAGCAGGCTTTTTCCTAACCACCTCTAGCCATGTCATGGATGAGAGTATTAGTTAGTATTATAGGATACAATAAAAACTTGAAAGTTATGAGAATTGTCAGGTGCCTTAAGGTATAATCACAATTCCTACCCTTTAGACCACTACTTGACTTAATACCTGATTCTTTCTCAACAGGTTCAAGACAATCTAGGAGGTATGATCTGAAATTTTCTCAGGAAATATTTAAATGCAAACTTTCTTATTAATTAATTAGCTCTGAGCCCCCATTCTAGTTTATTAAAAAATAGAGAAACATCTTTTCCCTTTTCTCTGTCTCAAATATGTTTCATAGGCTTAGACAATATTACTGGTATATAATTTATTAACAGTATCAAATAATTCAAAGACATAAATAAATATTCATACTATATATTAGATGTAAGAAAGGTCAAAATCAGTCACCTCTCACCAACAGGTGTAATTGCTGACTCCCCCAAATAATAGTCCAATAATTTATTTCTCTCAGGATGGCAGTTAAGGTCTCTTAGGAATTCTCCTCAGAATATCTTCTCCATAGAATAATTTAACGTGGTTCTTTTCTTATTAGGAATGAAACAATTCAATTCAGTTCTCTCAACATATCTCTGTAGCCTTTTATAGGTCTATAACCTCTCACATACTTTTTTTCTGCATAATAGTAAATTACATATTTTTACAGATGCTTTCTCCATGAGCTAACTGTGGTCTCTAAAATATTCTTTCTCCATCACATTTAACTCTTCAAGACTTCTCACAAAATAAGTTCTTTTAGTCCCATCTCAGTGCCTTACGCAGACTTCTCCAAAAATGAGCTGACTGTCAGGCCCCAAGATTCTAGCCCCTCTCTCTTAAAGGTATAGTAACAGTATATAAATTGCTTAGGAGATGGGCTAGTCAAGCCAGGGTTACACAGGCGATAAAACAGACGAAGAAGGAAAAAAAAGGGAAGACATTCTGGGCAATGTATCTATCTAAATTGTACCTATTTTTTGAAGTCCAGTTCTAGTCCAAACTGTCCCTGAACAAGAATTCTTTCTGGTTCAGACTACAAAGACTTACCTATAAATCCTCTTCCCAATTATTGGAGTCCTCTCCTACTACACTGGTGCCAATAGTTCCCCTACATATAGATCCTGATGGAAACAAGAACAAAGTGTTCACACCAGTACCGAGGCAGCATTAGGACAAAACTGGTCAGATCAGGGACCATGTGACACATAGAAAACAATGTCCTAGGTCCACCATTCAGAGGTTAATGTCCTTTTGGTGACAAAACATTTTTAAAAAAAGCCCAAAAAACCCCTAAGCCAAAAAACCAAGACAGAGGCCACGGAATAGCAACTACCAAGAATGAAAACAAGAGCCTGAGAGCCAGAATACAGATAAGGCATTAAGTGTAAAGAGACAGCTTCAGCTTGCAAGGATGCAAGATTTATTCTACCCTAATTATGCCAAGTATAGGGTGGCAGACCTTCTGAGACAACTGAGATACCAAAGGGATGTTCACACCAGCATGGAAATATATACAAATTTTTTAGGATTAATTGGGGGAATTTACTCATGAGACTAGTCCTCGGAGGCAGGAGAGCTGATAGTGGATTCTTGCCTTTCTGCACCACCCTTTGGCCAGATCAGATATTATTTGGAAATAGAACAAAGAAAGTAGTGCCAGGGATGGCCCAGGACTATATACAAGTTTTCCCTTGAGACAGCTGGAGCTTCTTTTGTTGTTTACACTTATTCAAGGTAGTTTACATTAACTGTGGAGTCATAGGTCATCTTCTCACACTCTGGCTTCCACATACACTCCAACCCTCATGACCTGTTCATAAAATCTTTCCAACAGTTATCTTCCATAAAGTTCCCTGAGTAGTACACAAGTGGCTTCGTTAACATGGAGGAAGTGGAGGAGCCTACCAATGAACTACATTGGAGGCACAATCCATAATAGCATAACCCACCAAAAATTACCACAACTGTTACAATTTTTTCCTATGCTACCCCAAGGGAGATGAAGAAAGCATCAGTGTAATTTGGTCATTACTGGGAGAATTGGATTTCTGAACTTAACTCATTATAGACCAGCTGAATTTCTGGCTTGGGCAATTTTACAGCACATTGGGGGTGATACAGAATGGCACCAGAATCAATTACAAAATGGAATCCGAGTCATTTGTTCTTCCTAATTTCCCCCTTTTTGTCAATGGGAGACTTGTCATAATTTTCCCTAACCAGTTAATGTAAGAAGAAGACTGATTAATCATAATACAAGTATATCTAAAACTATGGACTAATTTAGAGGGGAAATTCACACGACACCAAGATAATGAAGAAGTTGATTCATTGAAGACCTTCTACTGTGTTCCAATCAGTATCAATCAGTTTGATATGATTATATCCATATATTTGTCCCCAGAGCTGTGAGCTGCAGATAGTAAGATCACTTGCATAATCATGGGAAGCTGGCTGGAGGGTCTCCAGCCTTGTTTTTCCTTGTTGTGGTGATCAAGCCCAGTGTGGCAGAGGTGGCCCAATTAAATGGAAAGTCCACCAAAATTATTTTTGTACCTCTGTACCATTCTCTCTTGCCCAATATGAGCAGGTGCCCATCTTATGACCACCTATTCAGTGGAGATATTTCTTGCTTTGCCTAACTCATGACGCTGCTGATATACTGTTTTGCTTATTTTAGCCTATACATTACATGTCAACCAATGGAATTATTCTGTATCTGGTATAGCTGTTCTTGAATGTTTATATATCTAACACTATAAAAGTAGGGCCCTGGAAGGAGGGGGCATCTCAGATCATGAGGAAGACCTGAGGTCCATTTCATTAGATGAGACCATGAATCCTTTAATAAAATGCCATTGGCTCAGAGCTCTGCCTCAGTTTCTCTTATTGTACATTGGATAATTTTTATTCCCATGATAACTGAGAGAAATCAGTTATACAATGAAATACAAAGCCAAAGTAGTACAATAATGATCATCAACATTAACATCAGGTCTTTTGTATTTTAGTAACACATTCCCAATGTCCATTTAATCAACCCATTTATTTTGGATTCCAGATATCCCATGTAGTTGTCTGGTCTCTGGAAATATCTTCTCTCAGGGCACTCTGGAAATAAGTCTGCAATGGTCTCCTCTTCAGTAGATTTGTTTCTCTGGTTCTAAGTTACTTATACAGGCTCATTAATTGTTTCTGCAAAAATCTTTTACAAAACAGACCTCAATACAAATTAGTACAGCCTCTCAAATTTTACTTCTCCAATAAAAACTAACAAGGGGCAAGTGTTCACATGGTATCAGAAGAAGCAATACAAGGACACTCTCAAGGTTTCTCTTAAGGACTTTGGAATTGATTGGGTGACATGAGAGACACTAGTACAGGACCACTCAGCATGGTGTGCCCTCATCAGAGAAGGCAATGAGCAAAGCAGAACTTCAGCTTCTTGAAAGAAAAGCGACATGAGCAAATTTAGAGAATCCACCCCAAATGTTCACATGGACCATTTATGCCTGACCTGTGGTAGAACATTCTGAGCTTGCACTGGTTTGATCAGCCACAGTAGGACACACTACAATTTGACTCTAGCATAGTGATGTCATTTTGGTTTTCTTCAAGAACGAAAGACAATAACCAACTTCTCCAATAACCAGTTCATGTGGTAAAAGCTAGCTTACACCTTGTACTTTTCATCTTATTAACAGTAGAGATATAATAGGGACATCAAATTAGGGACCCATAGTTCACTTGAAAACTTCAGAGAATAATTTACATTTCATATATAGGATTCTCTGGTCTTGTTGCTTTCTCAAAAATTTTTTCCACTTCAATCAATTCTAATTCCTTTAGGAAGATCAGATTCCATTAGGGAGCTAATCATATATATGAAAATATAGGTAACAACACCCTTTGTAGGTTGAAGCTTTCTATTCCTAGGTTCAATGGTTACACAAATGAATTTGTTTGTAAGAGGCTGACTTCAACTGTAACAAAAGACTTGGGATGAGATGTATAGATACACTCAGTAATTAATTCCCAACTGTATACAAAGAACAGTATATCAAATTAGCTGTTTGTAGGAAAACATGTTCAGTTGTTAACTACATTCAAATGGTATAGATGTTACACAAACACTACTCTCCATGAAGGTGACTGATTGCAATGAAAGTCTATTCCTTAAAACAAAACAGAAGAGGTTTATGATTTTAACTTCATGAATTAATAGATTTGTATCTTTGTTTCATAAGCTTTTTTGTCTTTGTCCAATTATTCTCATATCATTCTGAAAGAATGAGCTACTTCAGGGACTTAATCTTATACATGACTATATAACTATTAGCAGGCAGAGGAAAAGCTCAAGCACTAATTTACTTAGTTTGGGATATAGAATGACTACACATTCAGACTAAAAACAGTAATATCTTACATGATTGTCTTGTGCTCATATCTTCTACTGACCACTTGCCCTAATTATAGAAATTTGCCATAAAAGGAAAAAGCAAAGATAAGATTATAACAGCATCAAATTTAGATCCTACAGGCCTAAGCCTAGGGGCACATCATGACATAACCCATGTATACCAGGATAAAGCATCTTTAGCTCTATTTGATTTCAGGTAAAAATCACAGGTGGCAACTAATCATGCAATAACAATTCCACCTCATAGCCAGACTCAGGTTTAATCAGGTGGGAGACATTCTGGTTCAAAATGAAATAACACAATAAGGAAACTGAGTCAAAAGGATTTTACCTTTGGCCACATCAAGGTCACCCTCTTGGCCATTTCCCAAGTTACAAACCTCTACCTGTCATACTTCAGGATCACACTCCCTCTGAGATCCTTGGGGCATTTTTCTCAAATGGCGAATTACTAACTTAATGATCCATCCGACAACTATAATTCAAAACTCAGAATAATATCAATTACAATCCCACAAGATTTTTACCTCAAATGTCAAGTTTCACTAATCACAGCTTAGGACTGGATACAATTATTACCATTCTCATGGTGTTGCAATAAGCAGTAAAAGTTTACTGGGACTCACACCCCCCAGAAAAAAATTTCACAACATCCTTTACTTATTCTTTCTTTTCTTCTCCTCCACTTTAAACTCATCCTGGTATAAAGATCATTATTAAAGACCAGTTCTAAATTATAAACAACTTGTAAATTCTCAGCAAGCTAATTTCATTCTTTAGAAATTTCACAAACTTTTTCACATGGCTGATGACCTTACACAAATAGATGGTTTCAAGAAACCTGCAAATTTACAAATCAAGGGATTCTACCAGCTCTTTTCCTACACCATAATTACAAATTTTCTCCTTTTTTCCATAATTTCTCTCCTCCTTACCAAGTCTCATTACACAGTTATGAATCTGACTGGCAGGATTTTTCCCAAGCTATATAGCTCATTGATCTAAGAGTTCTCATGCAGGCTTAGGCTTGCTTCTGCTGCTCTCTTAAATAAACTTCTCTTTTTGTAGGGAGGAAGCAAGATAGTTCTTAAAATTCAAATTGAACATAATCTATTACAAAAATAGGTAGGAGTCACATAATTTACAGCAAAATTTATAATTTCAAAACACATACCAATGTAAAAATTTATTATTAAAATGGTCAGTACTTAACTTTAGTTCATAAGATTTCCTAAGTATCTAAGTAAAATGTTCCAATGAAACTCAATTACTTTTTGGTTGTTTCCTGATTCACAGAAACTCTTTCTCTTTTTCATGAACCAGGAAAGGGTTATTAATATGCAGGCATTTTCTAAGTACCAAATTATTAGCCCCCTCCCCTTTTTTTCTTTACCTTGAAACTTTTCTGACATCGCCTCCAAAATTTGCCTCTTGATAATCATGCAAATGCAGGCCATTTACAGCTGGAGCTTCAAATTACAGGGCTAGCTACTCGAAAAATTTAAAGTAACACTCTTATTCTTTCCAAAGTCTCCAGACTCCTCACTCTCAAATCCTCTGTTCACATTGTTAGTGCAAATGGACTATAGCTTTCTTTAACTTTCTAACCATTCTTCTTTCATTTCTATTTTCTTAAACTTTCTACTTCTCCTTTTTCTCTTTCTCTCTCCCCCTTTCCCTCACCGTGTGTGTGTCTGTGTCTGTCTGTGTGTGTGTGTGTGTGTGTGTGTGTGTGTGTGTGTGTGAAAGTAAAAAGGGCTTTAGTTAAAGTCAATCAAAGAGAGCAAGTACCAAGAAGCCACCATTATGAAGGAACAGAGAGCATGGAATATATCCCAGAGGGCAAAGGATTCAGACTTACAACCAAGAATAATTCACCCACCAAAATTGAGTATAATCCTGGAGGGCAGGGGAAATGGACCTTTAATCAAATAGATTACTTCCAAGTATTCTTTATGAAAAGGGCAGACCTTAGTAGAAATTATACACAAATACAGAATTTATGGGAAGTATAAAAATATATAAATGTATATATAAAATGTAAGTATAAAAATATAAACATGAGTATGCAATCATAAGAGACTAAACATGGTTAACTGAATACATTGTTATATGGGGAAATGATACATGGAGCCCTTCAAACTCTATCATCATCAGAGTTGTAGAGGGAGTTTAATTTGATTGAAAGCCTAGGAGTAATTCTGTTAAATTTTGATGATTTAAAAAGAAGAATGGAAAGGGTGAGGAAGAGGAATATACACTAGGAGAAAAGAGAAAGAGAGAGGAAGAATGGGGGAAATTATCTCACAATAACAGGGTGCACAAATAGACATCTACATAAGAAAGGAGGAAGTGGGTATGGATGACACTTGAACTTCATTCATCTGAACTAGTCAAAGAAGGGAAGAATACATACATGCATGCATGCATACATACATACATACACACATGCAGAGTTGGGTACATTTTACCCAACAGGGAAATAGGAAGTAAAGGGGCTAAGGGAAAGGTAGGGAAAGGAAGAGGGTAGATTAAGAAAGAAATTAGTCAAAACCAAAACAATCTCTTAAACTTGGTGGGGGGGGTGGTAGAAAATAAAAATATATACCACTTGGGACTACTTCCAATGACATTCACAGGGGATCCCATAAAACGGAAGTGATTTGTGAAATTACCACAATCTAGAGGCCCAATGGAAAACAACAATAAAAAAAATTTAATCCCAATCTGTATTTGCCTGAATTATGCAATGGAGCAAAGTATTGCCCAGCACATATTAATTAATGTTAATTGAATTCTTATCAAAGTCTTTGCTTCACCAAGCCCCTGAAGTCAAGACTACCTATCCAATAGGATTTCCCTCTTACCTCCAGTATCATATATAATATCTTCTGTTTGGCTTTTAAAGTCTTTCATATCCTGTTGCCTTCTTACCTTTCCAGTCTTCTGACACTTTACTCCCTGCCATGTATCCTACAATCTAGTGACACTGGCCTCATTGCTGTTCCTGGAAAACAATATTCAATCCCCCTATTCCTAGTGTTTTCACTGGCTCTCCCCAATGCCTAGAATTTTCTCCCTCCTCATCTCTGTCTTCTGGCTTCCCTAGATTCTTTCAAGTCTTAGCTAAGAATACACTTTTAAAAAAAAATCCCTGAGAATAGCAATGCCCAGGACACAAGTACAAAGTGTTTTATTGAGACAGGCTAAGGCTCTTCAGAGTCCAGGCAATAAATTAAAAGCATGGTTTTCATTTAAGACAATTTCATAAAACAAAACAAAACAAAAACCTTCCAAGTAGGTGATTTTCCCTTTTCCCCAGTGATTCACACAATCTAGTAATAAACACACACACACACACACACACACATATGTGTGTGTGTGTAAGTGTGTGTGTATGTGTATATGTGCATGTGTATATAGATATAGATATAGATACAGATATAGATATATAGATACATATCTAACAAAATAATCCCATTCCTACCCCTTCCAGTAAAGTCTAAGTAGACTGTGAGCTGTGATGGGTACAGCATCTAAGGGCAGAGGTCCCATCCTGAATGGGCTCACTGCCATGGTCATTCCATGAAGAAGAGTTACATGGGAGGCTTCCCATTCTTATTCCTTGTTCACAAAGAATTTGCTGCTCTCACAGTGGTACATACATTCCAGACTGTCATCTCCACCAATCTCATGAGGGATGGTTGGGATCCTTGGCCTTGAGATTCCTTGCCTGGTGTGTGGCAGAGTGGTTGCCAGAGGCAGGCTTCAAAGAATACACTTTCTACAAAAAGCCTTCCTGGATCCCCCCTCAATGCTAGTGCCCTTTGAGATTACCTCCAAGTAACCTGGACATATCTTGTATGTACATAATTGTTTACAGGTTGTTCCCACCATTGAAATGTGAGTTCCTTGAGGGCAGAAACCGATTTTGCCTTCTTTTGTATCCCCAGCACTTACCTGGCATATTGTAGTAACAGCTTAATAAATTCTGGTTGACTTGACTTGATTTAACAATGCTCAGAGAAAGGCACAGATTGAGAAGTCAGGAGGCCAGCAGGTTAGAAAGAACAATATAGCCAAAGTCCAAACAAAGATCAGAAATCTCAGAGAGCTGTTTAAAACAGGTAAGAAATAATTTCCTCAAACAGAAGCCCAGGCAATGGTAACAATTTGCAGTTTCCAAAAAAGGCAATGGAGTCAGGGGAGGAGGGAGGGGAGGGCTAAGAAAGAACATTGAAGAAGCCAATCATTGTGGTGGAAGTACTTTTATCATGTTCTATTCTGGGCCATATTCCCTTCAGGGATTGGGGGGTGTGGCTGGGGGAGTAACTTGGAAATACCTAGATAGTGCTGTGAGGAGTAGAATGGTAACACCCCAGGCAGGGGGGAAATAACTTCAGAATGCCCAGAAGACTTGGGTTAATGAAGTCAGTCACAGCATCCTGAATGGTGGGCTATATTTAGCTGCACAGGAGGCAGCAATGTTGAAATACTAAATAACAAGCTGTATATCCCACTCTAACCCTAGGCCTAAATACCACCCAAGCAATGTCTCTCACTCAAGATCCAGAAATGATCTTCATTTTGCAGTTCACAGAGGCAGCATAGCTCTTTAACTGGAAGGGAATTCAAAAGCCACTGAGTCGATCCCCCTCAGCAAGGGGGATCTGACATCTTGGCTTAGAGACTCATGACTAAAATTCAGGCCACTGATTGCAGTCGAAAGGAGAAATCCATGAAAGAGAAAAAGAGGTAAGTCTTGAAACCATCCAATTCCAAGGAAATCCAGCAAAAGCATATTCACAGACAAAATCAGTCCAGCTTCACTATTGGAAAAAACCTGAGAAGCAAAATTGGAGAATTTTATTCTCCAATAACTCAACCTTATTAATATCATGTTACTTACTTCAGGAAATTTACCCAGAAAAGATGAGTTTAAAAGAAAATGAAGACTGTATTCAGAAAGAATAAAAGCACTCAAAGTTATGGGGAGTATATCCTCCCTTTGATATATATATACATAACTCCCATTAGTGAATGGGAGCAGTAGGAAGCTGCCAAATAGGGAAATTGGTTTCTAAAAAGTGAAATGTACCATATGTTCCCAACAAATTTCCCATTACACCCGCACAGTGAGGGTAGTTACCTGAAGCTGGCATGAAGGTGAGTGTCCTTGGATACAGCTAGCATATATGATTTCAAAACCTAAAAGCATTATGTAAATTAAGCTATTTTTATTCTTATTAGAAAATCTAGACAGAGCTGAAAGGGACCTTAGAACTCATCTCAGTCAACTCTCATTTTACAGATGAAAAAATGGGGTTCCATACAAGTGATATGTCTTATTCACATTCTGAGGTAAGAGTCAGAATCTGAATTAGGTCCTCTGACTTGAAATTTCACATGCTTTCCACTATAGCATATATTATTATTAATATACAAAATATAATTGCCTTAGATTCTGGCCTCCACAGCCCTTCCAAATGGAAGTTCCAGTTGTTTGTAGCCAAAAAAAAAAACCATATCTCCTTTTTAGGGGAGAGGTTTTCAACCTGGAGTCCGTGAACTTTCTTTTTAAAATTTTTATGCATTTAAAAATATTATTGTGCTCTCCCATTTGCTCCAGGAAAAAAAAAAGATTTCTTAAAGCAGAAGTTTGTAATGTCCTTTATGTCATGGACCTCTTGGCAGTCTGGTGAACACTATGGACCCATTGTCAGATGAATGGTTTTTGTTATTTTTGCCTAGAATGGCTCATCAGGTCAGGGGCCTGGATCAGATGACATTTAATTTTCTTTTTTCAATAATTGATGCCTTTTGTTTTTAGATTGTATTCACTTTCATGTCTAGATTGTGTTGTTTAGTTGTTTCAGGTGTGACTGACTCTTCATGACCCCATTTGGGATTTTCTTGGCAAAGATACTGTAGTTTGCCATTTCCTTCTCCAGCTCATTTTATATATGAGGAAACTGAGGTAAACAGGATGAAGTGACTTGCCAAAGGTCTAGTAAGTGTCTGAGGCTGGATTTGAGCTGAAGAACATGAGTCTTTCTGACTCCAGGCCTTGAACTCTATCCACTGTACCACCTGCTTGCCCACTTTTAATTTGACTACATTCTAAAAGTTAAGGAAGGTGTCTTCATTTCCCTTCCACATTCAGATTCTCCAATCAGAGATCAATGAAAGCTTTTGTAGCTTGAAACTCAGAATTGGGAACAATGACTTCTGGAAGTATTATTGATCAAAACCAGTAACTACAGCATTGTACTGGGAAGTGCTAGATGCAGAAAAACAAACAGAGATTTTGGTATCCATTCTTCAAGCTCATTGTCTCTACGGCTTGGTGCATACAAGGTTCTTACCTTGTAAAGGATACTTGGCATTCTCTTTGTATATGTTCTATGTGTAGTAAGGTAGAGGTGTTTCTTTCCCTAAAACCCTTGAAAGTGAAAGAAAGTGAAAGTGAATATAATAATCCCAAATAGTGATAATAATAATCCCAAAAAGTGAAAGAAAATAGAATTAACAAAATATTAATGAAATACAAAAGCTTCTATACTGTTATCCTTTTTCAAAGCTTGAAGAAATTTTCCTAATGGAAATGGAAAGGCAGCTTGTCATTTGCTGGAGGAAACCTGGACATGCGCTTAGTGGCCTTCAAAAAGCTAAGCTTGCTAGTCCTAAAGAGAATCAACAGATTTAAGAGGAAGTAGCCTTGTGGAGTGTATGATTCCTGCACCTCCATCAGAGGACATGGGAGGATGAATGTCTCACTTCCCTTTCCCCATCAGCTACAGAATTAGGCAGAGCTACTTGGCCAGTAGACCAGCAAGGGGTGGAGAGAGGGAGAGAGAGAGAAGAAGGAGAAGGAGATGGAGAAGATGAGGGAGGGAGGGAAGGAAGAAGTGAGGAAAGGAAAGAGAGAGAAGAAGAAAGAGAGATGGGGAGCCCAAGGAACAGAAGGAGAGAGAGGGAGAGAGAGAGAGAGAGAGAGAGAGAGAGAGAGAGAGGGGGAGAGAGAGAGAGAGAGAGAGAGAGAGAGAGAGAGAGAGAGAGAGAGAGAGCGAGAGAGAGAGCGAGAGAGAGATCACTGCAGGAATCAGTTTTAAAGAGCATGACCCCTTAAATTGGAACAGAGCCAACCATGAATTCAAAGGAGAATTAGCCCGGGAAGTTAGCAGCTGAGGAGAAGGGAAGACCCAGGGAACATAGCTGAGTAGTCTACCTAGGAAACAACATATATAAGAATGGAAAAGACATCAGAGCCCTGCAATACAGGAGGCATGAGCTGTCTTGGCCACATGGCCATGTGTTCCCTGTTCAAGTGACTCACTAATCAGTGTATTCAAGGTTTGTGCCCAGTCTTGCCACTTACACTATGCATATTTGTGAGAGCGTACACAACTGATTCATGGGGGGATGTTGTGTAGGTACTATCTTTATGAGGTCATCTTAATAAATGCCTTTATGTAAATTGCTTGAATTGAATTGATTCAAGGCCTGCCTAGCTTCCTGCTGTGCTAGCCCTTCCCTCTTTTTTGTTGGTCTTTGTTCTGGATCTGTGAATTCAGCAGTGTGAGGAACTCCCAGTGCAGACCTCCCCTCTCCACCAATGCAGACAAGTAACTCATCTATAATTTTTCATCTCAGTTGCTTTAGGCACTGAGAGACTAGTCAATATGGGTCAAGGGCAGGATTTGAATCCAGGTCTTCTGAAATCTAAAGTCAACTCTCTATATGCTTCCACTTGAAGGTCCCCACTTGAAGACCTAGAGGGACACATGTGGCCTCAAGGCTGAAGGTTCCCCACTGAAGATTGACTGTCCAGCAACCCCAATTATATTTTCCTTCTGAATGAGTTCAAGCCTTCAGGGCACCATAAAGACGGAGACTTGAGAGGGTCTCTGAAGTGAAAATTAAACTCAATAGATTGTCAAGGGTTGCTTCTCTAGGAACCCCAAATTTATTTCCCTTCTAAAGGTGGTGCTTTGAGGCTGAAGGATCCTAGAGCCCCAGAGAGAGAGATGGAATTCACTAGGAAGGAGAATCGTATCTAATCCCTTACACGTTTTCTGACTTTTCTGTGGGGTGAAATAAAGGCTGCTCTATACCCAGTATGCATTGTAACCTTGCGTGCTTATATAGAAGCTGGAGATCCTTTTACCAAACCCTGTGGAAATCTCAATACAAGCTACATAATTATTATCATGAGATTTCCCAGAGATAACTATGAATGTGAGCAAAATGATCTGTGTGGATCAGCACCTGCAATTGAACCTGGTCAAAATAAACCTAAATCTTAGGGTATTGGCCTACGAGTCCCATAATTATCTACCTCTAAGTTAAATCTCCACAATAGAATGTAAGTTTCTTATAGTCAAAAATGGTTTAATTCACCTCTTTGTATCTTCAATTCTGTAGCTTGAGGAATAAGAACTCTTGAAATACTTGTTGAAAGAGGAACACCTGATACTTATTCATCTCTTGTTTCCTATGGGAAACACTTTTCCTTAGATAATGTCAGCCTGTCACATTAGCATAAGATAAAGAATAGAGTGTCTTGAGAGAGAGGCTAGGGATTTCAACAAACTTCCATCCAACTTGGCCTACAGAGTCTCCAGATAACTCTTGAAACTGCTAGTTCATGGACTTCCAATGTTTGCCTCATATTTTGTCCGGTGGGTGTCAGCATTTGAAATTCACTGCCTCATATTCTTGCCACAGGATGCAAAAATCAGTCACAGAATCCTGTCTGCAACATTCTCAACAACTCTTAGCTTGAAAACCTCTAGTTATTGCAAACCTACTATCCCCTAAGGCAACCCATTTCACTTGGGAATAGCTCTAATTTTGGGGCAAGTTTTCCCTTAGATGAACCCTAAATCTGCCTCTACAGTTTCCTGTCATTGCTCCTAATTCTGCCCTCTAAGGACAAATAGAATAATTTGTATCCCTCTTCCACGTGACAGGCCATGAAATAAAGGCTTGAAGAGAGCCATCATGTCCCCCCTGAATCTTCTCTGATCCAAGTTAAGCATCCCGGTTTCCTTTAACTGGTCTTCATAGGGCATGAACATATGGGAAGCCAACACTTCACCCTTCTAGTAATGAGTCACCTCACAAATGACTAATCAGGAACCGTAAATGTAAAAGTCCAGTCA